GAGCATTCCCACTTCTCGGCAGCTTGGATCTATTCTAGGGTGCAGCTTCGCTGACGAATTAACAAACCTATAGAACGGCTAACGGAAGGCAGTGAAAAGCGTACGTGTAACAATATAACGCATGTAGCAACGATGCATGTATGCTTGCGCCGCTTCATGGCGCTTGCATGTTCATGACGAGGCGAAGCACGCTGCTACTCCGGGCGGGACGTGCAAGAAGAGTTGACGAATGCGGTCGATGTAGTTGAACAAGGCGTCAATCTCAACCTGCCAGCCGAGTAAGTTTGAGAAAATCAACGCGGGTAGCATCCGCATGCAACACTGTATACCGAGAGAACCCTTCACATGCGGTCTGCAGGGTCGGTGAGGCCCCCACGCAGGACATAAAGCTCCTACCCCCATTTCCTCTTGGGTCGCATGGTCTGTTCCAGTCGCTGCTACAATCAGCTTCCGACAACTTCCAGCTGGGTGATTGATCTATCCATTAAAACACACACAGGAAACTCCACCCCACTTATTCTGCATATGCCCACACAGAACCAACGTAAGGATCACCACGAAATCTAGGAGTCGCCACGCTCAATGCGTGCTCAACAGGCCCTGCCATGTGGCGTCAAACCTCTCACGCCTGCCGGTCTCTGCTCTCCTTGATCAAGCGCATCACAAGACTATTCCCCATCAGTCTGCCTGCCTTGTGCCCTGGATAAAGCTAGGTATTACTCAAATCTACATAAGTCCAAGAGAAAAGATTTGCGCCTCTGGAGGTTCATTGTAGTAGCAAACAGAATGTTGTTCGTCATTCACTGAAAGACACGCAGACAGTCAGGGAGACAGGGGGACACAAAGAGACGAAATGAGTATTCTGCGGGCCCTGCCGTTCCACTGTACACCATGTATACGTTACCACTGCAGGGACCTTCCGGTCGGGCGTAGCCCTAGATTTGTATCTAGGCCAGTGCTTAGAACCTAAAACGCCCCATGTGCAACCAGCGAGAACCATCGCAGCAGGAGAGGACGTGCGCGCCTTGGGAAGCCCGTGTATATACCCGAAGGCCCCGACGACCGCCTGCCGCAGTGCGATTTGCTCGCGATCGTGCCCCTCCACTCATCAAACCGTCCTCCATCTGTCTGCATGGCGACAGGCTTTACCCCCAAATGACACCGGCCCTCGGCGCCCACCTCCGACTGCTCCCATGGAGATGAACAGATCAAAGCATGCCCTAACGTAACATCCATGCATGTATGCATGTAGAAGAAGTATACATATATATATATATATACCTGCACAAGTGCGGAGAGCAGGGTCGGTTTATGCAGGTATCTGTGGAGAGGTCGAAGCGCGTGCGCAACGAGCAAGAGACAGGACAACAGCTACGGGAAACAGACGAGAGCAAGAGTGGCTGCTACTCAGCAGCAAACGCCTTAAGCAAAAAAGCAGAGTGTATGAACTCAAAATAAATCTGGGCGCGGAGAACGACAAAGAAGTCCGAGAGGTAACAGGAGTTCTTGGAGTGCACAAAACCTATGGTGCACGCAGCCTAAGCCCCGTATCCCTGAAAGGCCCAGAATTCCAGGAAATTTGCACATTCAGCAGCATCAGCAGCGGAAGCAGCGTGCAAGTAGTTCCATAGAACGGATGCCCATGCGCTTGGGCCTTAACAAAACGTAGGGAGGACACGAGGAGCGGCCACTAATGCAAAATGCCTTCTGCCCGTTCAAAGCAGGGTCTTGCACAGTAGCGGATTGAAAGGCTGCCCAAGCTGCAAAACAGGACCTGATCAAAGAGCCTCCAGCACGATCGCCGTGGCAGAGTCCTCCCCGTTGCAGATGACTGCACAACCGTAGAGAAGGTCCCGCGCTTTCAGGGCAGCTGTTAAAGATAGCAGCATCCTCACTCCCGACATGCCTGAAGATATACGAGACAGCAGTAAAGCAACACCCGACTAGCTTTATAACAGCACAATGAGTCCCGTGGAAACCTGCCAAGGTGGTTGAAACCGTACCTAGAGGATGACCTAGACTAATCGCCCCGCCGTGAAGATTAACGCGGGAGGGACAGAGACTCAGCCGACGCATCAGCAACAGAGGCAGCGCAGCAAAGACTTCATGAATTTCGTACAAATCCGCCTGCACCCGCATAATACTAGCCGCAGCAAGACGATCAGAAACGATACACGGAATCCGTATGCATCCCTGAGGGGAAAACTGACAACTCATGGGACAACTGGGGGAAGGGGGGTTCGGGCCACTCTCCCGCAAGAGACAGCACCGGAATAATGCGCCTTTGTAGACAAACAAACGACCACAAAATTCCCAATACTCGCGAGACTTATCCCGGAAAGAGCTAGAGACAAGGGGATACGAACCCAGTTTTAGGCGTTCCAAAATACAAGGCAGCCACATGGTGCCAAACAAGCAAACCATTAGCTCTCTGTCAACTTAGGAACAACCGAAAGAGAGACGGACACCCAGAGAAAAAGAGAAATGGACACAGGCAAGGAAGACATACACTCAGGCAGACACTGCGGCAGAGACAAAGACGCACGCAAAGAAAGAGACGCGCAGGCATACAAAGGAAGAGCGAGATAAGAATAAGCAACCACGTAGAGGCAGGACAGTAGTGCGCGCTTCCAGGTTAGTGCTGTTGCCGTCGTGGCATCGCCCCATATATACTGAGCTCCCAGCAGACATCCGCAGCAGCCCTAGGTGCTATCTCGCTTGCCTGGTCTAAACCGGCCAGGCGGAGCGCCCTTAGCATGGCCTCCTCAGCAACGGGAGCTATAGACCGTCCCCTGTCGCCTTGCCCCGCGTCAGCGAAGGCAAGAATTCTGCTCATAAATATACACATTCCCCGTATGACTCTGCCACTCGGTCTCAAGCATCTGCTTCTAGCCGCTGAAGCAGGTCGATGGAGCCTTTCCGGTTGAGTAGCTCAGCAGAGCGGGAAAAATCTGCAGGTCGCTTTGCTTCTCGGGGACTTACCTGGCCAGCGGCTTCAAGCCCCTTTTTCTCGCCTCTTCATCAGCTGCTAGCACTACTGCTGCAGCACCGTCCCCCAGCTTAAAGGCATTTTCAGACGTGGTGAGCCCTTCAGGGCCGAACACCGGATCTGCCGAAGCAAGGCGGTCCAGTGACAGGCGCTGTACCTCCTCATCCTGTTGCAGCACCCCCGGCGGCTCTTGATGCTGCGGCTGTTGCCGGCGGTGACGGAAGACTGCTAAATGGCGTTCCTGGTGCTGTTGCAGCTGCGGCACTTGAGGCGAGCATGCAGCGCAAATCGCACACTGGCTAGGCATGTCTGCACAAGAGCAACGGCACACTAAAAATCACAACGTAAGGCATGTCTTCCTACCCTCTGTCCGTTACCTGCTACATTGTGGCTTTACAGCAGGTGAAGAAGCAGTTCGCTACTCGTAACCACTGCAACAGTGGCTATAACACATTGTTGATAGTCCTGGCAGCAGAAGTGTGTCGCTCTTGTCCTTGCCCAATCGCCTGCAAAGAACAGTCTTTTCGAACCGCCGCTACAGAGACACAAACCTCTAGCCGATCTGTTCGCCATTCGTATCAACTGCATTACCTAAAGATGCCGTGGAGAAGGGTAGAAGACCCTCGAGACGAAAGAAGCCGCTGCTCGCCGCATCTGCTGCACGCTTGAAGCTCTGCACTGCGTACTTGTCGCATTCCTCTCGAGATATCCCCAACTGCACTGCCGCCGCTTCTGCCCGCTTAAGGGGAGGCAGCAGAGACAAAAAGCAGAACAGACAAGAGATTTTGCCTCAAAGTAGGGCGACACAGCAACGACAAAGAGAAGACTGGTAAGCACGAAGGACTGAGGCCGAAATAGTAAGGAGACCCATACAGGAGACTCCACCACAGCGGGAGGCGAGAGCGATAAGCGGGGGAGACAGAAGATAGGGAGGAGAAAGAAAGAGAAACGGCGCATTCGAAAGTCTCTAACCGTTCCACGCGGCTTCTGATTTTCAAACCCTCTGAGGCCTTCGAGGACAATCGAATCAGCTAACGAACCGTCTCCCAGTTTGTAGCCGCCCTGTCGCGCCCTCCTGCAGCACAAACAAACAACAAATATGTTTTAGTTGCAAAGCACACGACGGATACAAGAGCGCATAGGAAGGCACGTCAGCAAATGAAAAGCCTTAAGGCCCCCCATCGCCCGCTGTCTTGCGCATAGCTGCGTCAAGACAGTCAAGACAGTTGTTGGCATCGGCAGGTTCTTCTTCAGCACCGATGGCTGCTGCGGTGGAAGGAGAAAAAAAAGGAGCAGCAGAAGTTCAAGAATCAAACAACTTGCTATGGGATAACAAAGCAACAGGAAACACCCTCTAAAAGGCAGCAGCAACAGTAGCAGCAGCAAGAGCAACTGTATCAGCAGAAGGAAAAAGTCGTTCGTACAACAGCAGGTAAGGAGCGTTGCTCAAGGACTCAACGCCGACAGCTAAAGCCAAAGGAGTTTCGCCCAAAGCTACGGAACTCGCCGCCAAACAGACTGCCTTGAGGCCAGAGGGGCAACTGCCGTTCACTCCGTAGACAGAAGCAGAATAGGGAATTCCTGGAGGCACAAGACACAGCAGAAAACCCAAAATTAAAACCGATGGAGGAGACGGCGGACGTAGCCACGGATAACTCTCTTCACGGCCAAAAGCGATCACTCGCTGCCCACGGCGTTGCTGCTCTATTGGCTGGGCTTGCTGCTGCTGGTGCTGCAGAGGCCGCTCTAGCCGCTGCTCATGGTGCTTCTACTTCAATCGTGAGGATGCTGTTTCTCGTACTGCAGCTACACCAAGTGAGGGTAGGGGCGGCGGCACGCTAAAGGCACGGGCCCCAGCTTCTGCCTGTGCAAGTTGGGTGAGGGCTGATAAGAAAAAAAAGCGGAGGGAAATGAGAGAGACGACGCAGGCCGAGAGTGAAAGGGAAACAAAGAATAAACATGTCCGGCACCTCGTAACAGAGAAGGGCACGGAAACGGAACGGCAGAAGAAGGCAGCATGCAGAAAGGCCCCACAGGCATGGCGCAGCAAATGCCAGGACAGCTGGTGATGAAGCAACAGCAACAGAGGGAGAGATATTAGAGAAGCACTTGCCTGAGCGCTGCAACGCAAGCCGGTGAGCTCCCTTCCCCTGCCCTGAGGCAATCACCTGGCCCACTAGACACTGCTGAATCTCAGCAGGAGCAACTCCAGAACGCTGGAGGGCTCCTGCTGCAGCAGCAGCAGCAAGCCTCGCTGCCGGCGCAGCTCGAAGTGCCCCCAGAAAGCTGCCGATAGGAGTACGGGCTCCCCCCAAGACTACAACTTTCTGAGGCAAAAAATCTCTCCTCATGTTGTTTACTGCAGAAGCCTCAAGCAAACGAAAAATACATCTTCAATGCCGCAGTTTAACAGCAGAAGGAACAGCTGCACTAGCATAGCAGCCACAACCCCAAAGACACCCTGTGGGCCCCACCGCCGAAGACCGTCCCAGCGATCGGAGCGGTTAGCCCATCTGTCCCGCATTACACCAATTTTTCTTGTCAACTTTGCACGCAAAGAGTCAAGCAGTTTTGTGTCAGACGTTTTTGTGGCCTTTCCCTCTCATTCCCCGACTATTTGCAGGTCGCCCCCCGAGCGAGCAGTGCCCGAAGGTCTTCGGCTTCATATAGCCATCGGTTCTGGAAGCAATTGTCTCCGTGGTTCAAGATGCCGTCCGTGACAGAATAAGTTTTTTCTTTTATAGTGAGTGCAGGAAAGCTCCTTTCTGGGGGCGGTGCGATGCGCGTCGTTTGGGCGACGCTCGCTCCGGGAACGCCTCATCGATCTGTTCTCCTCTGCTCGTTGCCTCCCCCTGCCAGACTTTCCTTTCAATCCGTTGTTTACACCCCCTGTGACTTTTGCTTTTAGTTGAAGGGGTGCAATGCGAGTCGCAACACCAACAGAACCGGGCGCTCGCCCGACGTCGCTGCTGGGCGGGAGCGACAGTTTTTTGCAACTCTTCCCTGAAGCGGTTGCATTGCCTGTTACTCCTAGAATCCTCCAACATAGGCGAAGTGGAGGCTTTGGGGGTCTCAGCTTCAGTGTGGCGGCAGTCTCAACCATCGCTGCAGTTGCAACAGCGTACTTGTTGCTCCGATGCGCTTTCTATTTGGCGGACGCGAGAAGGAGCAGAGCAGCACAGAGGCTTCTGGCAGGTGCAAAGAGGAAGAAGAATAAAGAGCCGGGAGAGCCTTGCAGTGTTCCGGTGGAGGATTCCGCTCCGGCAGCTCCTGCTGCTTCTGGTGACGGGGAAGAAGCTCTTGTTGAACGGGATCTGTTGAGGCGGGCTAGGCTCTATGCCGTTGGACTGAGACGACTTGTAAGTTCTAGCGAATGTCTGTTGCGGAAGCTGAACGCTGACCTGAGAGCCAAGTGTGTAGCATTGTTTTCGTCTCTGTCCTTGGTGGAGTTTTCCTCTTTGTTGTCTTTGTTGGAAAGAAGAGATAGGGCCGGCATGCACGAGGACGTATCTGAAATTACCTCCCGGTTGTGGGCAATCCGCGAGAGCATAGGCAGGAGAGTAATTTCCCTCCCGCGCCATCGGCATATCAAATGTCTCCACTTGCTACTCCGCACGCTCACAGAGGTCCCACCCGTCACAATGGCCATCGCAGAGAAACAGCGGCTGCTGAGAATCCACCAGCTGCTTCAGCTGCAAGAGATGGCCTTGGGGCAGCTTAATGTCGGTCTCGTCTGGCTGCGCACGTCTCTGGAAAGCACTAAGACAAGGGGTAACGCCAAAGCACCTGCTGGAGGTGCAGAAACTGGTGCTGCACTTGCTGCTGCAGATGCTAGGATTGCGGAGGCTGTTGAGGCCATGGGAGTAACCGTGCGCAAACGCAGGGAACAAGTTCTTGTAGACCCGTTGCTCAGCAGTTGGCTGAGGTCGACGCATGGAAGGAACCTTCACTATGGCCTTATCAGCCGCTCACGTCTCCAGGAAATAACCATAAGACCCCTTCAAACCCATCGCGAGCTTTTAGAAGACCTGCAGGCCAGCCCGCTGGGATCGGGAAACGAGCCCTGGGGGCACATCCGCGTCGAGGACTCCGACGCGCCGCAGGCAGCCGTATCTGCCCCCGGGTCACCCTGCCGAGGAGATCAAGTGCCTCCTCCTGAGGGACCAGCTGGTGCTCCCCTCCCTCAGCGGCGGCTGAAGCATGGTTCCCAAGGTTCAAGAAAAAAAGTCGGCTCCACGCCAGCCACTGCAGTTTCCTCGTTACCCAGCACATCCACTTCTGCTGTTGTTGGTGCTAACACTGCAGAGAAAAATCACGCGGCTTTTCAGGGTTCCAGTCGCCCTACACCAGTGGCCCTCTTGGATGCGTCTAATATCTTTTCACATGTATCGCCGCCTGCCTCTGCAAGCGGTCCCCAAGTTGCCTCATTGCCTGCTGCGCCCCAACAGGCTTCTGTCCCTTCCGCTCGCAACCGTCCTCTGGAAGCCACATGGGTATCTAATGCCTCGGGTGTTACTTCTCTTGAGTTAGCTTCCACCTATTCTCTATTTCCTGAAGACTTACCGAGAACTTCGCAAAGCTCCTTCAGAGCAGCCGTTTCTGCTGCTTCTGCTTTCGCCCCTGAAGTTCTTGTTTCGTCTGCATCAGGTGTTTCTGCTCCAGCGTCTAGAGTTTATTCGGGTTCTGCTCCTGCTTCAAGTTGGGCTCAAGTAGTAGCCCATGGCTTATTGCCTGTAGACCCGCATACCTGGCCACCATTATCCGCCTCGTCTCCTGCTGGTTCTAAGAGTTCGCCAGGAGCATCAGGGCCCCGTTTTGGGGGTCCTTTGCTACCCCACGAGCGGCCCCATACAGCTCCTGGCCCTTCTACTTCCAGTTTCGGGGCCGCAAAAGCCCCGCTGTCGCAGGCCAGAGGGACATACGGAAGCGCTCTTCAAGGGGCAGCGCAATTTGCGTCGGCGTCTTCGGGCGCATCTGCCTCTCAGCGTCTTCCCGCCTCCACCTTAAGGTCGGTGGAATCTCATTCATCTTCAGAAACAAAACCGCCGGGGATTCCTGTAGACATCTACGGCACGCCACTCGA